ACACAAGGGGAAACGGAGTCTCGCCGCATGCGGCCCACGGTATCTCGACTCCGACGGGGGGGTTAAGGAAAGACACCCGGCCCGGGAGGATAATGGTGGTAGAGACTTGTGAAGACTTGAGCGCTCGACGAGTGCGGGTTGGGCTTGTCTACGAGAATGTAACCGCGGTTCGCTGGGTTGTAAGGCCAATGCTCGACGAGCGTCTTCAGCACCTTGCGTATAATTCAAGGTCTTCGACGGGGGCTTGTTCAGCACTACCCGACGGGATCGTAACCATGTAGCAACGCTACTACCGACGTGTTTCCCGATGGCTAAAAACACCCTTACCAGCGCGATCGCGATAGCGGTAGGCGGTACCAACTCTGTCTTATACAGTAAGACCTTCGACGGAGGCGTCGTTACAACAGCCTTCCGACGGAACTTGAAACAGTTGCAGCGCTACACAACGTGTTGCCAGATGGCAAAAACACATACACGGGATCCGTCGCAACCGACTCCAGTGGAACCAACACAATTAAGGGAAAAACAGATGTAGAGATAGAAAAGGTAAAAGGATAAGGAAAAGGAATGGGACCCTGAGCAATAGAGGATGTCGTTAACAGCGTAGAAGTGAAGCCCGTCGCGTGAACGGAAGCGGTCTTCGACGAAGGCGAGATCCAACTCCGGCAACTCGGGTTGTCTTTATTGACTTGGTCGGACAAAGAGCTAAGTTATATAGAGCCCCGCCGGGGCGAGTACAGTAGCTCCCGGCTCTAGATTCTAGATCTAATTAGTAAATGAATGAAATAATTAAAATAATCGTGCGCTTTGTCGCACACGTAAGTCCCCCAAATCCGGACTACGGTATCCAATTTTTTTCCTTTTTCACATCTTTTCACCCTCCTTTTTAGGTGCGTATTGCACTACAGTTGCTGTTGTTGTTTTTGCTGAACCATCTGACCGCGGTCTCTGCCTGACAGGCGCATTGCACTACACAAACAACCCATAGATTTTGCTAGATTCTGGAGACCATCAACATTCTAAATAATAACACCCAGTTCGCTGTGGTAGAAACAGCGCGTGGTGCGCTCTTCCCAGTGCCGTACGGAGAACTTTAAGCACAATCCTATCGCTCTTTGATAAGGAGTTGCAATCAGGCTGAGTCCGATGGCTTCATAAGGGCTTGAGGGCAGTGATGTGCTTGTACAGTGTGGCGGATCCTTATGTCCTGGTTGCAGACCCTCGAGCATCTACTGTGTCTACTGTATCCAATCATATGCATACTTGTGCGCTTCAGGTGAGGGCGTGTGCGGTGCAGGTCTGTCTAAATGCCTGAGCGAATGTCTGAGTCACGCCGGTTAAGAAAGGGTCACTTCAGCGTCACGATCTGACATATTTGCAAGCTGTATGCCACGGTTTACAGTGAAAGTGACAAGGTCGGAGGGTTCATTTTCGAAGATAACCCACCATTAACGTTGTCCGTAAAGTCGCGAAAACACGTGTTTTGGCCGCGAGTTTGCTCGGATTTTCTGATTGCAAAATTTTCAGACGAGTTTTGCAAAACTCACAGCAACCGAAAACTCGGGACATGTGAGTTTTCCACGAGTTTTCACATCCGCCTGATTACTGTACGGCAGTGCCGGATCGACCCGTCTTGAAGGAAAACGAAGTGGGGTTTCCGCTCTCTCATCAGCACAAACGAGTCTCATACTGCACGGTTCGTACCGGTTTGCGTCATGGATGCCCCTATCAGTTCATCTACCCAGAGTCCATCAACGGATCGAAGCACCACAAGATCTGCCACATATGCCGCTAAAGCAATCGCAGAAGACAGACATGTAGAAGCTTCTAAAAAGCGGTCCTCTCTAAACGGCCCCCCTCAGCCCGTCAAGAAGACGAAACACATCGCCCTTTCGACTGAGAACTACTCTATCCTTGTGGCGAGCTACAATATTCGCTTCAGCGAGTATTCGCCCAGGTGCACGTGATCCGTCGGACGGCACAACGATGTACCAGACTTACGTTTGTTGCGGGGCAGGTACCTTGCTGGAGGTCAGTCCGCAAAACTCGTGGTGGGATTTTTCAAACTCGGGTTTATTTTACGTCCAGCGAGTTTGTGGGCAAACGGAAAAAAACAACGCGTTATTTTACGGACAACGTTACTGTATCGTGATTTCACTCTGTATTTATTAACCCTGTACCCACACGTCAACAACCCCTCCGGACAGCCCGGCTTGCGGTCTCCCGACACTGCATTCGGTCGTTTGGCCACTCAATGCAATGTTGATTGCGTGACGGTAAATCCAGAGTTTCTTCATGCGTTCACCGTTTTTGTGACAAGGAAAACAATTGTGAAACATTAACGGTCCCGTCATTACTGTACAGTACATGGAGGCGTTTGTGTTAAAACATACAGGGGGGGTCGCGATATAGTGCCACTTTGAATAGTGCAACCCTCCGAATAGTGCTAGGTAAAGTGCTTTGGCACGCATTTATCATAGTGCCACGTGGACAGATGGCAGGCAGTGCGCCGGCGGGTGGCGGTGTCATGGGCGCCACCATTCGTCGCCAAGCTGCCTGTCTGTAACATCGAATGTCTTCATTCCGACACCCCCTACCAATGTTTTGAGCTCTCCCTTCCAACAAACCAACTATGGCCAGCAAGGCGAAACGTGTTTTCAATCAATGTAGGATTGAAAGAGAGCTCGCGGGAGAAAGGCAATCAATCTTAAATGACTTCTTCGTACCCCAATAGGGGAAGCCAATGTCTTCTCTAAGTGCAATATGGTATAGTGCTACCCTCCCAATAGTGCCAATTAGAAGCCCTTGTCACAGGGTAGCACTATTGGGTGTGGTCCACTGTATGTGGACACTTACTGAAATGGGCCAAAGGTTCCTTCCTGGAAAATTGCATCATTACTTACATATGCAGCGTCCTTACTGTGCTGTCCTGGCTTCTTAGTAAGACCGGTACAGGGGTTCCCACGCAATAGTGCTATACCGGAACAGACCTCGACATATGGCACTATTGCGTGAATGGCACTATACTGAAAGCGCCAAAACACAATCATTTACATACAGTTGTGTATGGGTACAGGACATGTCCTGTTTGAAGCGAGCGATCAGAGATGCCAGGCTTTGAAGCGGAATTCTACTGTACCTCTCAATAGGCGACAGCTGCGAACGTCCCTGCCTCTCCCCCTGTCCGCTCTCTCCTCCCTTGCACTCGCTCTACCCCTCCCCCCCCTGCGGCGCCCCGCCCAGATGTTCTCTGCCAAAGTCAAGCAGCAGATCCCGTGCCCGCTGTGCGTGATGCGGCGCTACGTGCTGTGCGACATATGCAGCGGGCACACGTGTATGAACACGTGTAGGAAGTATGATAACTGTGCCAAGGCGTTTTGCATAGCACTAATGTGTGGGAAGCACTACTCAAAGTGGCACTATTGCGCGACCCCCCCTGTACTTGTTTGGAGAGTTCCGCCACACGAGAGGCATCGTCACAACCATAACTAACACCCATGCAGACTGCACGTGTACTTCTCAGAAGTGATACACTGCGCAAGTAACGGAGGCTTTACTTCCTTTCTCAACATTTTTCTCAGAAATAGTACCCTTCGAAGGGTATATAGCAGTCATTTGGCCATCTTTCGGATGCTAATATCCTTCGAAGGGTATTAGCAGTCATTTTGCCCATCTTTCGGCCGTGTCCCCCGCAACATTACCTCACTCTCCGGACGTGATCACCGTAGAAGCCTCATGTTTCTCAGTGAGGGGCGAGAAATCACCCAATAGATCGTTTTCACACACTCATCTTGCTGTTTGGAAATTGCTCAGCGAGTGCTCCCATTTTTCCACTTCCGGGCAATCCTCGCTCTCCAGACCCCTGCCGTTTCACACGTCGCTTATCAGTGTTGAAACAAACATATTTGATATTTGACGTGAATCTTATTCTTAACCATACGCCATGGGCGGCATTTATGTTGACAATGGCAAGGAAGTACTGTTTGGTATTCCGAGCCCCCCGCCAAACTTCCTCAATGTCTCGGAAAATGTCTTCGCCGGCATTTACATTGTTGGACATGACAAATTCCTGGTAAAGGATGTTCATCTCGTCGGAGTGCTCCGCCGTTCTGTTGGTCCCACCGAAGAGTTTTTGCTCGGTGTCCTCTCTGTTTTTCTCATTGCAGTCGTTTCCGAGATTGTGCAAGTCATTCTCATGCGAACGCGAAGAGCACGGCGACTCTCCCCAATAAGCGTCGTATATGCGTGCTTAGTAGATGAGCTGTCACACTTTCGCAACATCTGGTCGCACCTGTCCTCTCTACATCGACAAGAAGGAAATAGCAGACGTCAAATAACTTCCCGACAACAGACCCTTGCCTCCCTTGTCGTCGTTGGAATTACGTTGGCCCTATTCGTTGTCGAGGTCGCCGCTGTTGTGCTCACACAACCGATCACCGTGTCCAGCTCTGAGAATGCGTACAACATCAAAGGGGTGCACCCGATAGGTACCAGTCGCGGCGTTGCGAGGCTCATTCGCAGAGTAGCAGGAAATAGGATATGCGTGTCTCCAATCATGACCAAGAGTGCTCAAACCAGAAATTTCATGGTCAGCGCGTGCTCCCTTCTCGAGGAAAAGGAAGACTTGACGGAAGAGACCGATGTCTCAAACTTAATTGAAGTGTCGTCTTGGTACCACCGAGGCGGAGTTGACCACAACATCACGTTTGGAGAAGCCTTTTTCCATCTTCGTCTGCGGGCAGAATTATTTCTTGACGCGACTGATGGCGGAGCTCGGAGAGTTCTTTTCCAAAGTCGAGATAACGCTGCAATGGATCATGCCAAATACATTCATGAGCGTTTCATATATTCATCGATGGAATGGGTGTGCAACAAGCCATTTTCAAGCAAGTCATGCAAAGAGCTTGTGGAGGAGCTGAAAACTGTGGAACAAAAGCAAGTGGAGAAGGTAATTTTTTTGTGGAGGGGCAAGAGAGGAGACGTAAATGAAACGGTCAGGGGATTGGTGACAACATTCCAGGTCGGAATGAACTCACCATACCAAGCGATGAATTCAGGAATTCGTGAGCTGTATGCAAGTGCAATTTTGACAGAGATTGAGGAGGTGGCAGAGTATCAAAACGTTCTCTTGGACAATATCGAAAAAGGAATCGCAGGCTTGATATCAGAACAAGGGCGCGTGGCGGGTGTGTACTTGCTGCTGATCGTCTTCGTTATCTTGTTGATAATACTTTTTGTGGTGCGGCTTGTCTTGAAACCGATCTCGATGGCACGTGTGTTGATAGAACAAGTGAAGGACGAAGCATTTTTTGATGAGGAGGCGAATGACGGGGACAGTAATTTTTCATGGACGGCTGCGACGATAAATGAGAGGAGTGGAGTGTGAGTCAGGCAATTTTTCCTAAATTGCGCCAAGGTTTGGTTCTGCCGGGGGGGGGGGGGAGTGGGACAAATTGGAATGTCAGTGGTTTCGTTTTCTGTGAGCGTGGAAAAGAAGATGCTCTGTGTGGGACAATACGCAAAGGCAATTGGAGAAAACAAAAGTACCCACGACATGGTGCACGTAAGAGTCTCTTAAGGTGGGGGTTGCTGATTTGGAAAGGGATGGGAAAGTGGACGGGGAAACCTGTCCGAGAAAAGCTTCGCTCAAGATCAATATCACCGGGAATCAAAAAGCGATCTCAACGCGCAAACAACCAACTGGCCTCATATATTTATTCAAAGTCAATAATACACAAATATTCCATATTCGAAGTAACCGAGAATTAAACGATATTTAATATACGTATACTGTGCTGTATGATGACTCCGGAGGTCGATGACTCCGGAGGTCCCACGTTAACACGTGTACAGCGGGTGAAGTGAAAAAAGTTCAGAGAATCGAGACGCACCCCAAAAACTGATCCAACTCTCTTTGACTAACTCAATGATTAACTCTACTATGGGTAGTTTTCATACGTCGAAATGTCTCAATCTCCTGCTCTATCTGGGCCGACGGGCCACCGGACCACATCCACAACTGCTATCCACTGCTACGCAGTGCTATCCACTGACAGCCACCAGCATCCCCGGGTATCTCCCGGTATCCACTGGAACGTACACTCACGCACCGTCAGTAAAAGTCGCGGTTGCTGCGATTGTCAGTGGTGCACCCAAGTGCACCAGTGGGAAACGGTGGCCGATTTTTCATTTCAGCACCTATGCATCATCCATCAACTGAAACAGAGAAGCGAGCATGTGTATCAAGGTCATCCGTCGTTGTCAACACACCATATACATTTAAAACTCTCACAGACGCATACCACAAAATGCACACATGAAAACATGTCCAGCACCTTCTCCAGGGCATAGTTGCCTTCTTTCTCTCTCGTCGCTGCAATTACGTATACTTTCTTGGCGGCGCTCTACTCTTCTATTCCTATCAACTACGTTCTACCCCTCTATACTACCCCGTCTACAGCACCTAAACTCCTAACTCAACATCCATCAACGTCGTGCTCACTTCGCATATTTTAACGCACAGCGCTGCACCTCCCCTGACTAATGACTTTCTCAAATTCCGTGGTCATACTGCAACTTAAATGCTGCACTCCCCCGCCTCCCATCCATTCCTCACCTCCCCTTCTCCTTTCCCTCCACTCCCATAACTTCTCTCCCTTCTCCGCTCGTTCCTTTCACCTGTTCTCCCTTCTTGGCTATCTTCGCTTCACGCTCACTTAGCCCTGCTTCCACTTCATACAATGGCTCAACCTCGCACTTGCCCTCAAGTCTCATTCTACGTTGAGGCTCCTTCCGCACGCTCCATGTCATACCTCTCCGTACTCTCTCCTCTGCTCGTAGAGGAGCAAGGTGGTATCATCGTCGTCTCGGATGTCTTGCCGAAGATCAGACTCGAGTTCCTGTCAAAGATCTACGGTCTCATCACGGTCCAGGTCCTCATTGCCACGTGCATGTGTACATTATTCACGCACTACGGACCCATTACATCCTTTGTCAACACATTCTACCCGATCGTTATTGGCGCCTCCAGTATCGCCACCTTTGTCTCCCTGATCCACTTGCTTCAAAGGTTTATGGTCTCTGTGAACGATGCACTCATCTACATGTTCACGTTCACGTTTTGCCAGAGTGTCCTTTTCGGAAGTGTGTGCGTTACGTACGCAGAGAGCGGACTCGGTACTCTCGCCATCGAGTCGTTGGTCACTTCGCTCGTTGTGTTGACTGGCATTACGATGTACACTTCCGTGAGTCATTGGGACTTTTCCTTTGCTGCGGGCGGTGCATATACTCTCCTCGTGTTCGCTGGCATGTGTTCCCTCATCAACTTTGGCATGAAGCGCACTGGCCAACCATCTGCTGAAGCCTCTTTCGCCTTCATTCTCTTCACCAGCACCCTCTTTTGTCTGTTCGTCCTGTACAACAGTAAGTTTTTTGCCCCTGCTTCAGCGATTTCGATTTCCCTCTCTTTGCACAGTTACATCACACATTCCAATGCGTCTCGCTCGTCTTGTTGCATATGTACTAACCATGCATCCCTTTCTGCTGCATTATTTTGTTCTCTTGCTCCTCTTTGCCACATAGCTTACCTCCTCATTGACGAGCTTGGTCCAGATGACGTGGTCCCTGCTGCCGTCACGCTCTACACAGACCACCTCAGTCTGTGTTTGCAACTTCTCATCGCGTTGGCTGGCAACCCAGACAGAGAACCACTACTCCCTGTCTTCACGTCTCCACCTCGATAGTTCTCCAATCGAGGTAGAGATTCGAATACATAGAATGCTTCACGTCTGGAAAATCCCAACTGCGTGTGAGATGCTCACGGCATTGGAAGGACGAAGCAGTCTCTGTCGAGGCGGTTAATGACGGGGAGAGTGAATGTTCATATATGGCTGTAGAAGCAACCGAGAGGTTTCGAATGTGAGCAAGCCAGGCATTCAAAGGGCTGTGAACGCTGTGGGAAAGGATTCCGGCGCGTGACCCTATGAATGGTGGCATCCGAGGATGAGTAGCGGAGAGAGATTGAGAGAAAGATTGAGGTACAAAATTGACAGAATGTGATCTGTCTTATGTGTGCGTGAAAGAGACAGGACTTTTTCTGGGCAGTTTCCACGCGTAAGGGACGACATCGAACGTACCAACAGCATGCTGGGAAAAGTGTGATCGTTACAAAATGTTGCTTGGGGATTTGTTTTGAGAAACGTGATTTTGGGAAACGCGTTTGGAAACACGTATGGAACTGTGCTTTGGAAACTTGCCCGAGAGATATTTATCACAGTATCGAGACCACGCGCAGCACCGCATAACACGAAGGCGCAAATAACAATACTATGTACAACGAACTTCATTTATTCACATAAAGTCAATACACATATTCTCTTATTGGTCGTGTGAGCAGGTACTCGAAAACACCCTCACAACCCCGATACGCACGTGTACATGTGGTGTAGTGAAAGGCACTGTGAGCGATTGTAGATGAGCCTAACTCTGATCTATCCCTCCCCATTGATCTCTATGGTCAGTTGAATGTGCCAACTTTGCAGCGGGGATGCGTTCTTAGTATGGACTTCATACAACGAAATGGCGCAATCTCTGCAATCTCGTCGCGAACCTTACCCTATGGGTCAGCGAGCCAGACCCACCACCCGAATCAACCCGTTTCCATCGGTACTTTCGGGTTTCCACTGGCATTTGCACAGTGCTGGTGTCCTGTCAACACTCGCAGTGGCAGTTGCGATTATCAATGCCTCGACTACCGCAATTTTCAGTCAAACTCTAACGCAACTCTCTAAACTAACAGACAGCGATGTTGTCCCGCAATGTGCATTTTCTTTGACCTCTGTTGTCGGTGATCCACACATTCATTCCAAAACTCTCAGAGACGCACCAAATCGTAGACGTGCAGATATGAAACAAGTCAAACATCATCTCTCGATGTAAGCCTGTGCGCTCTCCCCTCACACTGCTCTTGGGATAAATTTGGTGACAATCAACTACTCGCCATAAATGCAACCTATGTCTTTACCTGGTCCTGTCTACCGGGCCTACTCTCCGGACTCATCGTCCTCTCGTATTCCAATTTTTTGCACTTGGCTCCGCCTCGATGGCCGCCGGCGTTGCCTCCTGCTTTCGCTATACCATATCTTCAAAGCCACGAGCTCTCATTCTCTTCCATTCTCCTGCCCACCTTCCCCTTGCCGTCCCCTTGCCCTCATCCTCCACAACCTCATTCGCCCCCAACCCTCGCCTTCTTCACCTTCTCCCCTCCCCTTGTCGTACCCTTTCTCTCTCGCTCTTTGCTAAACGCCAGCAAACCAGAGCTCACTCCTTTCGCCGCACCCCAATCCTTGCACCCGATGACTCGTGGTCGCGGCTTTGTCAACGCCTCAATGGACTTTGGCGCTCCTTCTACCCGCTCGCTCCCGTGCCTCTCGGAGATTTCCCCCCTGTTCCTGGAGGAGCAAGGCGGCCCCATCTTCATTTCGGACGCCTTGCCGAAAGTCAGACTGGACTTTCTTTCAAAGATCTACGCCCTGCTCTCACTCCAGTTCCTCGTGTCAACGGGCATATGTACGTTCTTCATGCACTACGAGCCGATCCGATCGTTTATGGATAAGTACTACCACTTTATGATCATCGCCTCAGCCATTGTCTCGTTTGCTTCACTGGTTCATTTGCTTATGAATGTTTGGGTCTCTGGCAACAACGTAGTACCCCTCTTCACGTTTACGATGTGCCAGAGTACCCTATTCGGAAGCATTTGCGTCGCATACGCAGACAATGGACTTGGCTTTCTCATCATCGAGTCGTTGGCAACCTCGACGATTGCTTTTGCTGGTTTCACTGTGTATGCGGCAGTGAGCCGTTGGGATTTTGCGTACTCGGCAGCCGCAACATACGCCCTCGTCGTTTTCGTTGCCGTGTGCTCCATCGCAAATGGTTCCATGGAGTGCATCCGGGAAGGCACTGCTTTAGTTGCTACCGCTTTCCTTTTCACAACGAGCACTATGTTTACTCTATTTATTCTATACGACAGTAAGTTTTTTAACCCTGTATTAGCTTCTTTCTGTGCCACTTCTCTGTGTCATACCTCGAGAACCTCCGTTGAAACACGTCTCTTGCTGAATCATGTACTAACAGTGCTTTGTTCCACGGCATGCTTTGCGTTATCTCTCTTCCGCACAGCCTATATGCTTATTGAAGAGCTTGGACCTGATGATGTGGTCCCTGGTGCTGTAATGCTATACACTGACCTCCTGAGCTTGTGTTTGCAAGTTCTGTCGGTGCTGAGCAACAATCCGGACAAATAACTGGGAATCCTCTACCCATGTCCATGCACATATTGTAAAAAGTAAAACTAAAGATATTAACTGAACATCGATTTGCCAAGGTAATGCATGATTCTATTTCCCATTGGACGATTCCTGCGCGTCAAGTCACCGCTGCATCTTTGCAAATCCTCATGTCTCACCACTGGACGGGAAAATCGGTTCTCCAATACGTTGTTAATACTTGGGTTATGGGCTGGGCTGGCTGAAAGTGAAGATGAAAGATGGTAT